TAGCGAGACCATTGTATTTTGAAATAACAGGTGTACCCAAAAGACATGGAATAGCAATCCCGAAATAGCGCTGTAGTGTAGACGTAGCCAAGGTGCTGCAGGTGCAAACTAAAAGACTCTTCCATTAACGAGTCCTGCTTGAAGAGGACTAGATTAACGCAGAGTAGGAACCTTTTAGTTTGTATCAATAGCATCCACACAGGGGAGTTACAGTGAAGCACTTTGGTGTGCACTTCAATTCCCACGCTATAGTCCACAGTGGAGGCAGACACGACTCCTCATATTTAACTCCCTTTACGAGATTGATTGGCTTTAGCGCCCTTAGAAATCATTTTTTTCTCAACAACCAGGAGCTTCCATGACAGCTACAGCCTGGTGGGACAATGAAACAAAGTGCAGAAGACAGGAGAATTTCACAGAAGGTTGACGTAGGCTACTGAGCTCACTCCCACAAATGATAAGGAAGACTACAGCACTGTGCATTTTTAGGACTGAATGCAAAACTAATTGCTTCAGCTCAGCTTTCCCTTGGAAATTTCTCACCATACATGCACAATACACCAACTCATTTACATATATAACATTAGCAAAACCAAAAATAATCCTATTAACTATTCTTTGACAGGATGGGAAGGGTGACTGGGTGGAGGAAAAGATGCTGTTGGGAAATTCCAACTAATACAGAACACTGCAGCACATCTTTTCAGCAACATAGATTACTGTGAACACCCCTCACCTGTCCTCTGCTTCCCACAATATTGGTTTTCCCCTACTGTATTGACTCAAGGTCTGTAAGGCACTCAACATCCTGGGCCTAGGATATGTTTAGTCATCTTAAGTTATAAGATAAAGACAATGGTCAGCATCCCCCTTCCTACACAATAGAATGAGGATGACTGAGTCTTGTTTAGTGGCCTGTGATCTATAGAAAGTCAGGTGGTCTTTTCACCTTAAATGCTATGCCTTTGTTATTTCTAAAATAATAGTAGCTTGGGTCACAGTAGACTAAGTATTTCAATTTCTCACTTTCACTCTAACTTTTATTATCTTACCAAGGGCCTGCATCGGCTAGTAGTAGTATTCATTCTGCATGTAGCCCTATTGCAAGTAGTCTCATTGAAATTGAAATAAGATACTTCCCCGTCACCAGGTGGGAGAATGGGACACAATATGAGACAGTGAGATTAATCCTGTTTATTTCATCTACTAACAATATGAAAAAAATTGAAAACATTATTCGACTGCAAAAAAACCCCATATTTTCTTACTTGTAAGGAACAGGATAATCAAGTCATGTTTTATGATTCAAATTTGACA